CGATCTTACGAATCAACACGTTCTTAAGATGAGTCTGTCTCCTGGTGGACTACTGCCAGCAGGAAAACCTTGAGTTTTACTGTGACATTTGACTGGATTTCACTAGTTTATCAATAAAAATTTTGACATAAGAAAAAAATCGTCATTAGGCGCCTTAATTGCATTTTATGAAATCTAAAAGGCATCGGAACGGAAAATAGGGGAGATCTACACACTTCAAGCCTATGCGGGAATTTACTTTCCTCGTTTAAAATCAAAATATTAGCCCCAAAGATAAGGCGGCGAGGCTTACCGATGCTGTCGCTGGGCGGCGGTTTCGATGAATAAAGATCAGAGTTGGGAATTGAGTAGAACTCTGAAAACCCACTAATTAAATGAAACAGTTTAGAAAGCGCGTAACCATCAACCACCAGTAAATGATGGTCAGACCCTACTCCCAAGAAACTGAACAAGATGAAGCTGCCAATAAAGTAAAATTGAGAAATCATGCCTCCCCGTTGAACCCTATTCTGTGTTACCGATAAAACAAGACAACGGTTTACAGCCGCTCAGTTAGCAGTACATTTCTGGAGTTGTAAAATGGAAATTTGGACTAATCGGTTGGAACAGGCAAAGTAAATAATTTAATATTGCGCAACACAGCCGAGTATCCTTACTACAAAAAAACACCTCCGTAGGTTGCATGGCAAATTAATGTGAATGCCACCGAAGAATGAAGAGAACGGTACTCGAATATGCAAGCATTCGCCGAAACGAGTTGACGAAAGAGCGAATGTCAATACACGCGAGAAGCCCATCAAAGTCATGCCACGTTAATCGACTAGGAAAAAACGTAGCGAGCAAGTTAGGCGCTTTGTGTCATCCAGACACCATGCCAATAGAAGCATGCCCATTACTGTCAGTTGTAGTTGGGATAAAACCGGCTTACCCCAACCCGTGCACAAGTTGACTAACTAGAAATTTACCAATGAAACCTGACGTTGGCGACAGCATACTCAGCTTGACATCATAGTAATTCAGCAGTAGCAATGATAAATTCAGGATGCACAAAAGCACAAATAACATGAGCTAAAAAGTTGTAGGCTAAACTGTGCGACCATGAGGACAAACTTAGCGCGTAGACAAGGGCGCAGACAGTGCAGATATTAGCTTTTACTAAAGTGACCGTTTGGATGTGTCAGCAAGATTGGATCCAGGATTACGGATGGGGCGCGGACGATCACTGTATGCCTAAGATGCGGCATTACCCATGGGTATACGAAAATCGTGCACCCAGCACTCCCTCAATGAAAGTCTCAAACAATGACATGAAGCGACAAGAGCTTTATTTTTCTACGGATGTTGACGAACAAATGTACTTTATTGTAAAGCAGTGATCGTAATCTAAACAAAATTATCAATATAGTGTCTGCATCTTTGTCCACAAAACTGGTGACGTTATCCACAAAAATTACAAAAGTTAGTTCGTCAGGGGCACAGTTACGTGGAAATGAGAACAGAAATGTCAAGCCGAAACTGGTCCAGGAAAGCCAGAAGTCGTACCTGACGCCGCGGATGGGTTCTTTATGAGCCTGATACATTTCCACGTTGTTCATGTTGGCTTGCCAATACTTTACGTATCCGGAGTGGTCTGCGGTCAGGAGCCAGTCATCATTGTGCGACCATTTCATGCAGCGTATCTGAGACTCGTGTGCCTGGACGAATACATTTTAGTCTGATATACCACAACCACGTACTTGGAGAATGGTTTCAAAATTAAACGTGAGACCGTTCCACAAAGTGAATTCGCCGCTATATGCTCCTGTTATCAGTCGTCGACCCTCAGGGGTCCACTAAACAGCACTTTGTTGAAGAACAACAGAAGGGAAACTTACGCAGACACAATAAATCGGACATTTGTTTTTGTTAGTGGACGTGCGTACTGGCTTGCCGGTAACACAGTTCATTGGACTGTCCAGATATTCACCAGGAGGATTTAGCTAAAAGATCGGTTAAAAGAAAAACGGAGGCTACCAAAAAATTGTAAAGATAATCAGGCTGAATGGCGGGCCGTTTAAAAGTCGTCCGCTGCCAGATCCGATCTTTGAGGTAGGCTATCACAGCTGCGTTGTAGTCAATAGTGCGCCGAAAAATTGCCTTTCTCATTCGTCTGGCGTCAGGTCCATTTTCCATTAGTCTTTGCTGGGCCTCCAGATTTTGGGCCTGCATTATATTCATTGTGACTGAGGCAAAAGAAGCGAAAAAAATGAGTGTCGATGAGGCAAAACAGACATGGGTAGTTGAGACAGAAAACCTATGAAATTTTGAGTCTTCTATGGTTGTTCTTTTGAGAAATAGTTTTTTTAACATAGGTTACAGAGAAGAAACAGATGCGATTGCTGGGACAAGAATTTCATTTGGCTGACGTTTCGAAGTCCTTCTCGAACCCATTACCGGAGAAAGTATCAGAAACGGTTAATTCATACACAGGGAGTTGCAGTATTTATACGATACAGTCGTTATGCTACTGCATACTTATTGAGGATACTTGCCCGCTTGTAAACTAATTGCTTGATTGCCGACGCGGGGGTCGTCGCCTGCTGAACTTTCATCACTTGTGCTGAATTTGATGTGATGATGGCTCGGCCCCTACTGGCGTTAGAAGATGCGTTCGCCTGTGAGTGTGTGTCGTAGCCCATAGTTGGATCAGGAATCCCCGCCGGAATCCAAAC